TTTTCTCTGCCTGCACTGTGGTCTAGGATGGGCACCGGCCCCCAAATCCTGCATTCTGGTGGGTCAGTGGCACAGGAGCAGAGGTTAAGTGGAGCTTTGAGGAGCTGGGGAAGCAGTCCAGGAAGGCAGCCAACGTTCTGACAGGTGCATGTGGCCTGCAGCCTGGGGACAGGATGATGCTGGTGCTGCCAAGGATCCCAGAGTGGTGGCTGGTGAGCGTGGCTTGTATGCGTACAGGTCAGTACACCGGGCTGGGACTCTCATTTGGGACCAACACAACCTGCCAGAGTTTTGCAGTGTCCACAAGGTTTGAGAGACAGAAGACAATGAACTCTCAGCGAAGTTTTGCTTACTTCCCCTCTGTCCAAGAATCCCAGACGTGATTACATACAGCAGCCAGACAGCTAAACTCACACCAGTGCAAGGCAGTAGGGAGTGGTCAGGACTGTAGCAAACTGAAGGTCACATACTTTATCATTTCAGGGCAGCTGCTTAGTAATTCCAACCAAGTATTTCCTTGGGAGAATGAGCACCGGTGTTTCCAGAACTTCTGATTTGTAATAGAAAACTCCAGATTTTTATTTATTTATTTTTAAAAACCCTCTAGTCTTTTCATGTTGGCAACTAAATTGATTTTTAAAAACTCCAAGTGGGATAAACCAAACATATTTTCTGCTAGTTATGGTTTGGGACCCTTGTGTTAGTTGCTAGTTTTACATGGAGAATAATGCAGTTAGGGATGAGAGACCTTCCTTCATAACCAATCTACATTAGTGTCATTCTTAGGCTTTATGGCTGTCACTATCACAGCATTATCCAGCTTCCAAAAGAAGGAAGAGAAGGATGAAGTAATCAAACAATAATATTAGCCCTTGGAGGGTCTTCCTGTGATCAGGAATGTCCAGGGCAGTGGACCATTGATCTTCTTGGAATGGTTGCTCCAACAAAACAGAGGCCAGAGGACATGTAACCTAGTGAACCTAGGGAGTTTCTGCCAAACCTAACTCACACACTTATTCAAAAGGCCAGGGTATTTAGGCTGGTTTTATAAAAGTGAGACAACTAATTAAGGTGGGGAACTTTTTGGTTCCATCACCCAGAAACCTTCAACCACCTGGAATACTGTTCATCCCCTTTCAGTTATGGTCTTAGATGTGTCCGCAGAATACCCAAAAGACAGGTGTTTTCACAAATAATGTTTACAAAACAGGGTAGATAAGCACAAGGATGAGAGCAAGATTTCTCTGTGCATCTCTTTGTGCATAGAGAAAATGTGTTTACAAAACAGTGGGGTACAGACTCACACCGGAGATAGAGCCCTTCTACATGAACAAGCTTTACTCAATCATTTTGCTAATTGATTGAAAAAAAATGAGGCAGGAATTTCAATATGATTTTCACATATTTTACATAGTATACACATATAAAAATAAGCACTATTAGCGCATCTCTGGCTCTGAGGAAAAGAAACAGGCTCACAGGTTTAGAGAGTTCTCCATATCGTGCCAAGACACGTAAGGTTCACTTAAATAACAGCCAAGGCAAAAGGAGCCCTGCACTTTTCTTGAGCACCTACTGTGTGCCTGACATCATGTTGAGCAATTGGCATGATCAAAACATCCCTTTGCAATGTTCATATTGTTTCTTTCTTCTTATCCAAACTTCCTCAATTCCTCCAATTACACAGGTTCATCCACTTCTTTGATATTCAAATAAAATAACTCAAAACCATTCCCTGCCCCAAACACACACACACACACACTTAGAAAATACCAAGCTGGATAACCTCACGTTCTCTCATCTCCCTGTTCTCCTGATGTGCATGTGTCACCTCTCTACCCGTCTACAGCATCTGGCTTATTCGTCTTGCTGACAGCTCTGACTGTTCACCATCTGTTCAGGGCTGGAACTTGAATACAGCCCCCAAAGCATCAAAAAACAACTCTGGCCTGAACAGACTTTCCCTAGAAATAACTGAAACACAGAGATGGGATGAAGAACCACATTATTCACCTCCAAAAGTTTAAATTCTGGGATTTAAATTCTGCAAAACTTTGAGAATGAAGGTCAATAAAAACTT